CCAACCTGAACTCAACATTTACTTTTGGGGAGGTAGAAAACAATATCAAGTTCCTATGAAGAAGAAAAATACAAGAATAGCCAAGAATTGTTAAAGAAAAAAGTAATGAAGTGAGACTTGTCTTTCTAGATATTGAAATATACCCTTTGAGTGAAGCCAAACCACAAAGGACCAAAATAAGTCTGTAGTACATAATGGAGAACCCAGAAGAAGACCCAAGACAATATATTTGGAATGAAAGTGTCATTTCAAATCAGTGGGAAAAAAAAAGATTATTATTAGCAAAAAGTATTTGATAATAATGTTACACCGCAGCCTCTCCCTTAGTGAATTTCTACTTCATTCCCGGTATCTATTGCCATAAAACAGAGCAAGCTCCCAATATTGGGGCCTTAAAAGTAACTAGTTCATTTAGTTCACTTTTCTGTGGGTCGGCAATGTGGGCTGCACTGAGCAGAGTAGCTCCTTTTTTCTGATTTTGACTGGGCTCATTCGTGAGTCTACCATAGCTACTGCTCAGCTGATCTGTTGACTGGGCAGTAACTGGTCTGTGACAGCCTCGTTCACATCTCTAAAAGGCAACTCCTGTAGCTTGAGTGACCAGATTAACAGGGCCACATGCATCTTCTTATGTGACCCCATAGGGTTACAGGAGAGCAAGCAAAAGCAGGAAAGTCCTGTGAAAGACTGGCCTTTGAACTGTCACAATGTCATTTCCACTGCATTCTACTAGTCAACACAAGTCACAAGACCTGCCCAGATTTAGGAGATGGGGAAAGAGATTCCACCTCCTGGTGGACAGAATGGCAAAAAGGAGTTCATTATGAGCTGAGTAACTAAGAGCAAAAGTTGGAAAGATGAGTTTAAAGAGGTATTGGGGGTGAACCATGGAGAGGTGGAGCACACAGAAAGGAGCATTAAAGGGAAGGAGGCAGAGCACATTGGACCTTAGAGGACTCCAGCTTCTCTCTGGATGACGTAGGGAGCACCTGGGTGGTTTGAAGAGAGGACCATATTATCTGACTTAATTATCAAAAGTATGGCTCTATCTTGTTAAGAATGACTAAATGTAGGGTAGGAGAAGCAGAAAGCCAAGTTAGGAATCCCCTGAAACAAGTCAGGAGAAATTTGGTAGTGGCTCAGATCAAAGCGGTGGCTGTGGAGGTGACAAAGCTGGTCAGATCCAGGGTTTGCCAAGAAGGAGGATGAAGAGGGAAAGAAACAGTTGAGACAAGAACAACCTAAGATTTTTATCCTGAGAAATTGAAAGGATTGAGCTTCCATTTAACCAAAACAAAACATGCTCAGGTAGAATGGGTTTAGCAGAGAAAATCAGAAATTCCATTTTGTCCAGGGTAGGTTTGAGACATTGATTAAATGGGCAAATAGAAATGTCAATAGGTTTCTGCATAGAAGAGTGGAGCATCTTAGAGATGAGGATCTAAAGGAGAGAGGGGGCTAGCCAGGTGGAGGAGTAACACAAGGGTCTCCAGCATCATCACCACAGACTGAGAGATTGTTGTCCCAGAAGGACAGGATGTGTCTGAGACGCATATATAATTTCATCATGGTCTTCTGCACAGGCTGGAAGGAAGCTGCGCACTGAATACAAGCCTGAAATGGAAGACATTTTCATCACAGTACCCTGCGTTTGGTCCTACATTACCAGGAGAAGCATTAGCCGAAAGTTGCCAGGAAAGTGGTTCCTGAAACAATATAATTCTCCAAAATTTTGTTCAAAAAACAAGTAGAGAATTTAAAAAAAAAAAAAAAAAAGCTAAGCACACCCTCTGGAGGGTGGAGATGTCTATACCAGACCAAAGCCTTACAGAGTCATGTTGCCCTTTAACTCCCTTTTCCAGAGAGCTGGGCTTCATGTGGCCAGGTATCATCAAGTTCTGGAGCAACTGCATCAGCACCAGTCTCCTGTGGAGAGTGATGAAGGAGAAGAGCTGCAGGGCAGAGGAGAGCAGCCCTGTCTTTCCTCTTCTCTCCCTTAGCTCTCAGTTCTTCCCAGATAATCATGTGGGCGAGAAAGAGCAGGAACAGCCTCAGCTGGAAAGGCTACTGGGAGGACCTGACTTAGAGTCTATCTACATGTCACGGGTGTCATCACTGAGTCAAATAGGGGACAGATACAAGCCAAGTATTTCTTTTTCCAAGGGGAAAAAAGAAAACACTAAGAATCATAAAAATTAAAAGAGAAGCATGGGCTGGTGCTGGGGCACATGCCTGCAATCCCAGCTACTGAGGAGACTGAGGCAGGAAGATAACAAGTTCAAGGCCAGCCTCAGCAGCTTTGCAAAATCCCATCTCAAAACAGAAAAAAAAAAAAAAGAGAGAAGCGTAAAAATGAAGGGGGATATTCATGAGTTTCAAAAACAATACCATACAAAAGAAACCAGGTACCAAAAAACACATGTTGTATGATTCCACTAACACAAAGTTCAAATCAGGAACAAGTAATTTTGTCATGATGGAAAGTGGGTGGAGACTGAGTCAGGCACCAGAAGACTTAAAAGTAATGTCATGCTTCTCGTTCAGGGAGCTATTGGATGAACATATTCAGTGTGCAAAGATGCATCAAGCTTGGGACATGTGTGTTTTTCTCCATGTGTGTTTATATTTAAATAAGCTAAAAGTTGAAAACCTAATGGGTAATAGCTAAAGATACGCCTGAGGTAGATCATGCCTAATTAAAGAAGTGTACCATTCAAAGGCAAATATTTTATGGAGAAAATGTACAAGTTAAGATATCTCATGGGAAGAAAGTTCAAGAGTTCTGCTCCAGATTTTGGTCAAATCAGGACATTTAAAAGCAGAAAGTAAACCCATGGTTTCTCTCTCCTGTTGTGTGATCCTGGTTTTCTCTGTCTTGCAATTTTCTTTATCTTTCCAAACTCCTTTTCACAGCCAGGCCAGGTGAGAGCTCAGTACTATAAACTTGTAAAACTATCTCCAATGGCTTATTTTACAAGATAAGAGAAAAGTGTACTTGGAAGGGCAATCTAACCTGGTTGACAGGGATTTTTTTTTTCTCAGCTTTCATTATCTCTAGCTCCCTATAAACAGAGACAAAACTGTCTCTGAGGAGGACAGTCACTTGAGCAGTGCTGATACTGTAGAAAAGGTTATCTAAATACAAGTGACATTTAAGGTCTTTACATGAATCACTTGATGCCAACTTTACTAGCAATTTTTCTATTTATCATTTAATTTATGGCCAACACTGTTAACATCTTCAGCACTCTGCATCCTGAATGCCAAAACAAAAATAAAAATCCCTGCCCCACACTTGATTACAGGTGTGCACCACTGCATCCAGCTCTTGGCTTGCTTTTTAAGCAATACTACTATACTTCTGACTCATTTTCAACAGTTGATAAATTACGGTCATTAAGAGTCAAGTTATACAGTACCAGTAACTGTTTTCATTTTCCTAGACTGCCTGGGTAATAAAAAGGATTCCAATTACTCCTTAACAGGCAAGGATGAGAATATGAACAAAGAAACTTTTTATAACTGCTTCCCCTTATTCAGAAGCAATAAGGAACATTCAGTGGATCTTTACCTAACCTGTACTTCCTTTATTCCGATAAGATTCATTGTACTTACTTACTCTAAAGCTGTTAGAAAGGCTCCTGAATTTTTTGTCATTATTTAAGACCATTTTATGTACTACAATACATGCCACTTCATATTAGTCAAATATGGCCATATCACACAATGTCTGTTATAAAACAGTTATTAGGGTGGTTTCAGTTTAAAAGGTTTTTGCCTACCTGATGCCAAGTATCAGTCTGAGCAATTCACTCTATATCCACTGATTTTACTTGAAGGAAAATAGGTATACCAAAAAAATATAAAAGCACTTGAATATTTTAATGGATGAAGTGGTATGGAGAAATAGATATCAACATTTCAAAAGGGGGAAAAAGTGAATTTTAAGAACATTTCCCACCATAAAATAATTTATCAATAATATCCCAATAGTACTGATTTCAGTAGGTTATTTTTATTTTTAAGACATTTCTTTTTTAAATTCATGGTGTATTGAATTTTAAGTCAGACTTCAAGTTGTTATCATCAGGAAACTCAGAAAGTTCTAGCACTATAACATATTTTCTTTATGTGATAAGTCATATTTCAAAGATGCCTAGGAAGAATCCAGGAATGTCTCAGATTTATAAAAACATAAGAACAGATTGTATTCAAGATTATAATGACAAAATAATATGCAAAAAAGTACAAAACCTTTATTAAATGACCACATAGTAATCTGATACAATACTTTCTGATACAGGAAATGCATGATGAACTGGCCTATAGTTTATACAATAATTCCAAAGTAAAACAAAATCGGTAGATAAAATCTGTATCTGCACATTGTCATCTACTTTTTATGACTATTTCCCTCTATTTGGACACCCTCCTCCATGTACCCATTTCCCTGTGCATTCACCACATCTTCTCAATCCTCCTTCTGGGTTGTGACACTTCCAAGTGTTTTCAAAACAACAGACTTCCCATGGCTCCAAGCTCTGATCATAGCCAGCTCGCCCAGAAAAGGAAAAGAATGTAAATTCATAATAAGGGGGTTCTAAGGAATTTTACCAACTGATCCCTCCCTCTTTGTCCGACCTGGTCTCTTGCCACTGGGCCCCTCTCTTCCAGCCACAGTGAACTTTCTCCTACTTCCTTGCCGGGCACCACTGAATTCTTCAACCTTCAACCTAGAACAGCCTTGACACACACACATCCCATCTTCTTCATGTTTCAGCTAACTCTTAAACTTCACTCAGAGCTAATCTAGGAAACTTGACATTGCCCCCTTAACACCCTATGGCTGGTTTGATGTGCAAGTGTATATATATATATATATATATATATATAT